TCTAGTCAGAGACATATTAGAGGCAGAAACAGGAGTTAGGAGGGATAGAGGTAGACCTAGATTAGATTACTGTTCGCAAATAGTTAAGGATGTGGGCTGTTCTAGTTTTAGGGAAATGCGAAGTTTAGCTCAGGATAGGAAAGAGTGGAAGTACGTGTCCAACCAGTCTTAGGACTGATGACCTTATGATGATGATGATCATTTGTAAGTATTATAAAATTTCGTTGAATCGTTAAAAATTCTCCAATCCATGTTTAGAACAGAGATATTTAATGAAATTGTGCTAATCTAATTTCATACATTGTCTTTTTAAGAAAGAAAAAGCTTTTTTATACATGAACACTTATTTCAAATGCTTTTGATAAGGACTTTGTTTCACACAACACATTTGCGTCATACTTTACAATGGAGATTTTATCCTTTTAAGAGAGAAAAAGAACCAAAAACGAATTTAAAACAATAAAAGAAGCAGATACTGAAGGATATAGGTTGAAATTCGGATTTAGAAAACATCTACAAAGGGAAAAAACACAATTTAATGAGAACTGTTGCGATTGTAAAGGGAAGAAATATATTTACATATCTGAAGGTTTATTGAATTGGAAAAGGTTTATTTACTGAAAGTGTATAAAAAAAAGGTGGTAGGTTCAACTACGCATCCTTAAGCAACTTTAAATCACATACGTCTGAAAGCACGTATTGTAAATATGTTTTGCAATCAAGTAATAAGTAAATTAATCTTAAAATGGCAAAAGCGTTTGGAAAACTCATCTATTATATGAAATAATTAATGCTTTAAAGCGCTATTCCTTGTCATAGCTGCCCTTCTCGTTTCCAATACACTTTCAAATAAAGTGAAAAGAATTCTGTTCTTTTATTTATTAAGAAAGTTCCAATTCAAAAGGATTTTGTCTTAAAATATGGATTAACTGGATTTTTTTAATGATACTATAAAAATAATAATTTATCAATACTTGAAACAAAATTTTTCCATTAGAAATCTTCAAGTTTGTAAGATTCTGAATCTGGCAGTTTTTTAATAGTTTCATTAACATTAGATACTAACAGATCTGGTAGATTGTGGTTTATAAAATATATGCCTTTTATTTATTCTTTTAATTAAAGACTTGATGAAAGTACAAGAGCTTTCAACTCATTTTCGTTCCCCATCTCTGCTTTTGACGTGTAAACGTTTAATCACAATTTAAAATTGACTGTTTTACCACTTCTATTAAGAAGACAAATTTTGAAAAAAGAAATTTGCAGCAAAAGCTCATTGAGGTCAGCATACAAAATTGAATATCTAAATAAATTTTTAGGGTAACCGTCAAGAAGTCGCATAAGACATCTGTGGAAAGATCATCACAATAGATATTGAAGAAAATTCAAAGATTAGTCATCATCATCATAAGGTCATCAGTCTTAAGACTGGTTGGACACGCACTTCCACCCTTAACTTAAATTTTCCTAAGATCTAAATTTTCGTTTAATTGCTGTAATCATCTGTACGAACTAATTTTGTAATTTAAAAAATGTGGTATAAGATATTTTTGAAAACAGTTGTAGGGGTACTCAATGTAATCAAGTGGGATGAACGTAAGTCTTAACTGACTTTATATACTACATAACATACATTCCCGCTGTTTTCCTGTTGTAAATTGAGGAAGTACAAATACAGAATACGTGAAACGTATGTCGTTGAGTAATTGGTTCACATGTTTTATGATTCTTTTGGTAAGCAAACTATAATAAGCATACATATTAAAATATTGAGCAAAAGAAATTACAAGTATCTTTAATAATGTTGCAAGTAGATGTTTAGACGTTCTTTTTTTTTTAATAAATCTCATGTCACACAACTAAAAACATGCTTTAGAGTTTCTGAATAAAAGTCACCAGATTTTATTGCTTCGTCCATATAGCTTACGCATCAAAAACTTCATGTATCCAAATTAGAGATATTTCTTTTGGATTTAAGCATTATAATGGTCACGAACGCGTCTGTTGTTGCTAGGCAACTGAATCATCTACGAGTTTTGTATTTTGTACATTTTAACGCCTTTCACTTCTCATAGCATAAGGCAATGCCGTTCAACGCATGATAAAGCATGATAAGGAACAGCGTAGGGAGTTGACGAGATGTTTATTCATCAGACTTATCCTGCTAGCAATCTATAGATTTACAATTAGTTATTAGGATGGTCAGAGTTGTATCGAGAAAGATTTCATTTAATATCCATCTAGTTGAGAGTAAACCTAAATGGTATCGAATTTAATATTGATTGCAGTTAAAGTGAAGTCGTGTTTAAATGGCTGATATTGGATAGAATGTAACAGAGCTTTAAGAAAGGTAAGCTAAAATTTATTTAAAGATACTAACTCTTCCCCCCTATTAGTCACTGTGTGCTCGCAACTGTTAGAAATATTGCTTCGAATGGATGAAATTTAATTTTGTGAACAATTTGTTTAATTACTTTCTTTGTGTTAAAAATTGTTTGAAAAATTAAATTTAAAGGAATTGTTTGTAAATAAGTATGCAACACATCGTACACTTTAGCATAAGAAATTGCTGATACTAACTACATAATACTACTTTGCCTTGTGCTGACAGCATCATAGTTTCTTTTATATATAATATTAAGCATTGAAACAAGGCTTAATAAATGTAATTCATGTTATACAAATATTGGATTTGCAAAATGCTATTGATATCATTAGAAAATTGAACTCTTCTGATTTATTATTTATGTACGAAAATGGGAATTGTGTATATGAGTACTGTAAATGTGAACACAATGAACTTTATTGGTTGGTGCAAATCTTGCATAAAATATACACAGTATTCAAGAACAAACAGATCCCAAAATTCCATTTAAAAGGCTTTGTAGACTTTTCGTATTTATCCAGTAAAAGTTTTATTGAGGATTGAACTGGATACAAGAATGATGACATTGATGATTTCGTATTAGTTACACCATTGACATTTGTTGGTTTAGTAAAATAGCAATAGTTACATTATTATTCATTAAGTACACAGTTTTGACAAAATATACATTATGAATTCAATTTAATTTGATATTGAATATTCAATAGAAACTATTCATATAAAATCATTTGAACTGATTGTGAAATCGTTTTTCCGAGTTTCCAGCTGACTAACATGTGTAGGCGTATCCATTGTAGACTTTAATAACCAAAATTATAATTTAATTTTTGTTATTTTCAAAGAATCCTTTGATCTACATTTATTTGCAGTTGTAGATTTGAATGTAACAGTGTTTTGTTGCTTAAATTAATTATTTGAAAATGTGCTTCCTTTTAATCACCAGATAGGAATAGAAAGATGTAGAGTAATATTCCAAATTAAATTTTTACTTACGAAAGGATCATGATAACAATTTTAATTATTTTACATTCATTTCTGAGGAGGATGGGGCCAACTAAATTCTTCAGAAATTAAATTTTCTCCACTGCTTTCAACTCACAAATCTTATTAGTGGTTCAAGAGATAAGTTTTTGTGAAAAGTGCAGGAAAAATAAAATAATATTTCTAACATTCATAGTGTTAGGCAAGTAATAACAGTAATAAATGATTTTAATTTTATTTGTCTTAATATACAATTACGACTTTTGATGCTGGAAGATTAACTGAAGCACGTTTATCTCGTACTTTTACTGTATTCTAATTTGTCAAATACTTAATCAGTGATTGAAAACGAAGTAATGTCCCAGTTGCAGAAAGCGATTTGTTTCATTTAGCTTGCGGTCTAAAATGCGTCCACTACTTTTCTAATTGATTTTTAATCGTTGAGTTTCCAGCAGAACCTTTAGAATTTGTTGACTGATGCCTTTGTATGTATTAAAAACATTTCTAGATATAAAGATAACCTACTAGAGATGGGTCAGAGAAAAGAGAAAAAAAAATTGTCAGCCAAGAATTAAAATTTCATTGGCTTAGTGTTTTAACGACTTTTTGAATGGCTTAATTTGATTTCGGACGTTGATGAGGGTGATATTTAATGAAAATCTCTAGTACGGACCATGTAAATACATCAAAAGTTGTCTACATTCTAGGCGTACATTCTTTAAAAAAGTGTGCGGGATGATAGGTGTATAATTCTGAGTGGTATTGCACAAAACTCAAAAAAAAAAATCGGTTGTCTGTAAAGACGGTTTACTGACGATAGTTGAACGTGACAACGTCATAAGAAAATACTGATGGAATGGCTTCATTTTTCAAAAGAAAATTTTAATTTTATTTGTTTGATAGATATTTTGTATGGATATAGAGAAGGAGGTAAATNATACTAGCAGCAAATAAAATTCAAAAACATCTATTTTTTAAAGGATTACGCAGTTTTAATATCAGAATAATTTTTTATTGATAGTTCTATTCTTGCATCTTATTTTTTTCAGAATGGCAGTATTGATAACTGCATTTCTACTTGTAGTGATGCCAGTAACATTAAGCAAGGCAAATAAGTCTACGAATTTTCTTAAATCCCAAAATTTTATTTTTGAAGCAGGTAAAATAACAACAGCATTTCTCCGAAATTGTTTGAGACAAGAGGACACAGTCAAGGTAAAAAAATATGTAAAAGTATTTCGCACTTTTGGTGTAGACACTTTTAGTCGTTTAAGATTTTCAACAATTTAAAGTCATTAAAGAAGTATTGATATAAAGCTTTCTTAAATTGAGTTAATATCTTTCGTAGGTGCCTTGTGGTCAAAACTGTGGCCAAAGTTTATTGAATTGCTTGTACGGAAAGGGCTTTGCACTTTTGGATCGTCTGTTAGAGAAAGATGAGGTTGAACTAATGGACGGACTAGAATTAGTTCGATACAAATCTGATAATCAGTCTGATCAAGAATGGTAAATAGTAATAATTGCGATTTGTGTTTCTGTAGTACTAACTTTTTTATATAACAGGGATGACAATGAAATAACACTGCAATTTTTGTTGTGTCTATTTAATAGAAAATGAAAGATATAATTCTTTTACCTAACTATAATGTAATATGTTTCATCCTCTCTATAGTGCTGATTTCTCCCTGTCTGATTTTTGTCGTTTTCCAACATTAAAGAATGCATTTCAAGCGTATCAATTTACAGAAATGCATGACCTTAATAGACGTTTGTTGTAAAAATACGTGCAATAACAGGATGGAAAATTGTCTGCCCTTTACATTTGGATTCATACTTTTCTTATTTTGATTGCTATTGAAGAAGCAATTATCGTAGTATATCATTATAATTGCGACTGTCGTATTTACGAACAGGTGTATTATTTATAATAGCCAATTTAAGTTGAAAGACACAATAATCAATTTGTAAAATGCATTGCTATGGTTCGATGGGCAATACAGTTGAGCTACAATTGTTCAGCCAAGTGGAAACTGATTGAAAGAAATGCTCATTAATTTAAATGATGATATTTTTGTGTACACAGGCATTCACGTTCAATAAACAAGTCTCACGACCAGGAAAACGTTTTTACATCCGGTGTTCAGTATGAGATCTACCAGCGATTGGACAAATTGTTTTCAACTCATTTTCTCAAGATTTATAAACCAAAACAACTTGATTTCGTCGAAGGTGAAGGTAATTAAAGAATTACTAAACCAGTTAATAAACTAATGGCTATGTTCGTTATAAGCGGAATCCACGAAATGTCGGTTTTAAAATTTCAGTGTCGAAAGTACAATAATGATTTTGAATAAGGGCTCTATCAGGTAACTAATACTATGATTATTTAGGCAGTGATTATATAAAACAGAAGTCAATATACTTTTGTCGGTAGGCCGAAAGGTTTTGGAATTGTTGTAATATTTATATTCCATCTCATAACTACATTTGTATGTTAACTATTTTCCAGAAATACGCAGGGGTGTTTGGACCCCAGGGCAGAATGAAATTGAGATTTCTAAGCACATCCATTTCTTTTACATTTCCATACATATGTATGTATGTATATATCTATCCTACAATTGAAATTTTATTTTGTGTGATGTAGGAAAACCTTTCCGTTCTTTTGTTGTTTTTATGAAAACTTGAGGCAATACTTTAACCAATTCCTCCGAGCAAAATTCAGATTGGACGGATTAGTTTAAGAGTTTTTATGATAGGAAAACCAAAATATTTATTTAAAATTACTCTATATTTATATAACCAATTTCTGACTATTGTTTTCAATTGAATAAGACAACCAAAAATAGAAATAAATTCAGTTTATTTTGTAATTAGCTTTAGATTATTTAAATTACGACATTTTTACTTGACAAAGAAATCAAGTTGATTCCACAATTAAGACGATTGTCTCTTGCTGAATTTAATGTACTTTTCAATGAATATTGAATTTTGGTAGGTATACTGAACCAAATAGAAATTAATGTATGTTCCATATTACTATCGCATTTTACCCTAAATAAAAGTTACTGTCATAAGTATTGGTCAAATATTAAATGTGGATATTTTTGTGCGATTTGTGTAGCTAGACATCGCAGAAGACACCACATGATGCCAATGATGATGGTATTCGGTGTGTTGGTGTTAGGAATGGTAATTGTCCCGATGGGTTTCCAGTTATTGGCTATTCTTGGGGGTAAAGCACTTCTTTTAGCAAAGATGGCTTTGTTATTAACAGCTATACAAGGACTGAAGAAGATTGCGACCAGCCCTTATAATTATGGGCTTTACCAAGCTGCGCCCTATCCATGTAAGCAACTTTACGATACCATTTACCAAAGTAGTACGTAGGTGGATTCTTGTTTCCGATTATTTATTAGTTGTGAAACATTTGATCAAATTAGACCCTATACTTTGTCGTTTTTAGGGTTCCGTACGTTTGAATGAAAAACAGAACCCTTATACGATCACTCGTGTGTCTGTCTGTCCGTTTTTTAAAATCAAAAAATGATTTCACTATCAGTTATGTTATTGTGAACTACTTAATTTATTTTGCTTAAATTCTTTTGAGGTGTAAACTTGTTGGCCGACATTAAAAGAGCAATTAAAATTGTATTTCTCGTGAAAGGAGTTTAAGTAAGATCCAAAGCTACTTTAGAGTATGTGTACGGATTAAACATGCATTAAAATTACTCACAGATCTCTGACATTAACATCAAATCCCTTTAGTAGTTTGTGAACTTTAGATTAACAAAATTGTGAAACAGTAGAACGAGATCCTAAAATTTAGATCGTATTTGTAAAGTTAGTTATTTTGTTGGTAATTACTTATCTCCCTGGCTTTTTAGTGCATTTTATATTAACTATTTGGCTTTAATTAAAGGAACATGTTCGGTCAGAAATAGCAATCAGGGTGGAATCTTACACGAAATGTACTTTGAAGTTTTATTACTTTTTGAGTTTATGGGTGAAGTTTGAGTACACGAATGCCAAGTTTCGCTGTATTAATTTCGGGAATATTTCTTTTGCTAGACTTTAAGTAATTTTAGTTATCTGCCGATAATGTGTATTTACCTATGATAATGTATTCTACTTCAGGGTATTCAGATAGGAAATGGCTAGATGATGATACCGGAATAAACGATAATTACCAAGATTCCTATCCTAAAACTCCTGGCAAATCGTCAGGGCTGTTTTCATTCTTAAGTTAACTGAATTAAATATTTTTATTTATCAACTGATAAAACAACTAAAGTGAAGTGTTTTACATTGTACTATACTACACAGTTGTAAAATATATTTAAAAAATTAGTAGCACGTTTCTATATTAACTTATCCCTCCTTACCTCCTGCTTCTCCCACTAATGAAGTTAAATTACGAAAATATTTCTATACCTATTAAAATTTTTCATCTAACTTGTCGCTATTTTACAAAGCAACAAAATTCGTTTGGTGTTTATCAAATTTTGGAGCAATAATCCCTTAATTTTCGAAATCACACAAAAGTATTTAAAACACAGTTTTAAGTCGTTTTAAAAATAATCATGATGTCAGCTTTTTTATGCTTACGATTGTTCCTAGGGTCATAACCTTTTATCGTTTTGATCCCTTTCTGTTAAAGTATTAAATTTTAATGACCTCTAGCAAGATGTAACGACAGTACGAAGGGTTGTCTTTCATCTAAATGTCATTGAACGACACTGCAGCTACAAAGACAAACAAAAGATTTAATTTATTTTCTATCCACACTACAACTGATGATTTCCCCCAGGTGTATCTCGTACTGTTCCCTCTAAGAGAATCATCAATTCTTTCAACGGATCTATTTTATTTTCGTTCTTATTGTTAAGCAAAGAGGTAACTGTAATTTAATTATATTTTATAGTTTCTCGAATTTGTGTATGGTCTTCTTAGGTATTAATCATTGGTGTTTAGATGCAATTGTAAAGGAATTCGGGGTGCCCCTAATGAATGACATATCACATAAAGTTAGCAATTGACAGAGGACGTACAAAATCAATTAACTGTTAAAGTATTTAAACTTTCAAAGGTGTATTCTCGACGAAACATTTTCAATAATAAAGGAAAAGATGTTTCAACAAAACTGTTTATTCCTCGACAATTGTTTCGACCTCTAAAAGGTCATTTTCAAGAGTACAATAGTAACTATTACTCTTTATTACTGTTAAAGTATCGTAGTTACGTAGAAATATTAATACTTTCTTCTACTTTGATTGGTTCTTTCTTCTTTTAATTAATAATATCAAAGCGTGTTGAACTTTGTCTGTTTGGTTAGTTAACTTCTCCGTGGAATTTTCAATTTTAACATTTCTCTGCCTTGTGTCCACGTTTGTTAGCAGAAGTTTTCTGTTTCGGAGTTAATTTAGTTTATAGCCAAAACTTTTGGTTAGGTTTGTGAAAAAGTTGGAGGCATTAGAAGAATTTGATGAACGTTACCAGGGGGAGCATTTTTAATTAGATCTGACTGTTTTTTTCTTTTTGCAAAAAAAGATAATTAAACAATACCTATGAAAGTGGATATATTACAATGAAATTTTAGGCATATCATATTGAAACGGAAAAAAATTGTTAAATAATTTCGCATATCCAATACTGAAAATGATGCATGATTTATAATTTTGTTAGTTACTTATAGTTTTTCCTAACACAAACTTTATTGTAATCATTGAATTTGTATTCACATCTCTGTTGCACAATTATTCAAAATGCGCTTACTTGGTGTAAATAACATAAATGTATTTAGTTTGTGTTGTATTTGAATACCAAACTGAGCAAACAATACAAATAAAATGCGATAAATACAAATTAAGCAAGTAAAATTAAGCTTTAATGGTAGATTTTATATCGTTGGTTGTTAAGTATTGCGAGATTCACACGAGCAGGGGCGGCTCCGTATCAAATCTATTTCTGATTGCGAATAAATATCTTAGATTTTATTGGATGATAATTTCCACATAATTGTAAAGTGTTTTTGACAACTACAGAGGGATGTATGGTATGGTAGAGCCACCCCGGTATTAAATTGTGTCTTGTGTGTTAGTTTGTGCTAAACGTAATAATGTTATAAACCCTGATTGTCATCCCCAACAGCTAACGACCAGTTTCATTCTACCATATATTGTCGTTTGTTCAAATTTGCGAGACTGTTTTGATTCGATAATTCTAGGTTTAATCAAATTTTACGAGTCCTAATGCGTTTACCTAGAAAACATCGTCGAAGTATAATAACATAATAACGTTGTTGCGTGAAGATTAATTAATTCTAATATCTTCATCGTTCTGTTTTACAAAAGCGCGTGTAAATTAATGGTCTGCAATGTTGATAGCAGATCCTAAGCGTTTTTGTTCTACTGAAAATCTTCAGTTTCATCTTTCGTATTTTCTATTTTCGTCGGTTTAATTTAAATTTAAACCGTAGAATAATATTATATTCGTTTGTTGTCTATGAATATGTAAGTCTTCGAATAAAATTCACGCATAAGAAACTTTGTAATTAATTGTATATTGTGGAAGATCATCTCTTGGTAGAGGTTGATGCTACCTAAAGGTCGGAAATATTTTACAGGCTGCAAGGACGAAATGGAGCTTCGGGTAGGAAATGACAGTGACATGGAGTCCAAATGAGGTTTACGTTTAACTTTGTAAAAGGTCATGGGAGCTTGATCTGTTGCGGTCTCGGGACTTAATTATTATGCCGGGTATTCCCTCTTTATTACACTTCACTACCCAATCTGCCACTACGTCTTTCTACCATTGTATTTTAGATTGAAAAGCGCTTTTATATAAAAGTTTATCAGAGAGGTGCTTAAAAAGTTATTCTGTTGGAAACATGCTATTCTTAAACGTTATTAAATTTAGCTAACGGTGTTCTGCCATTAACAATTCATCCCCCTTTGATTCGTTAATTTCCTTTATACATGTATAACTTAATATAACTTATTATTAATAATAAATGTTTTATCCAACAACAACAACAATAACTTCTTTGTAAGTTTTCTATCTTTTCAGCTTGTTCTAGGGTCTTTGTCTTTACATTGTCTCTAAAAGATTACCTGGTTTTGAGATTCGTTGAAGGAAAATCTATATTTGAACTCGTTTTGGATTCTCGACTATTCAACTGGTTGTTTAAGATAAGAAAAGCGTATTGTTCGCCAAGATTTAAAAGAGAATAAGACTTTAATGAGCCTGTATGTAAAGGACTCATCACTTTTCGTCTTTTCAGATGGATTTATCAAAATGGATCAATGATTGAATTTAGAAGAGCAAGGGATGAAGCCATTTAATTATTTTAACAGCAAACGTATTTCTAAAAAGGAAAATTTCTCAATAAATATATCTTTATCATCTATTAAAAAGTAACAAAGTTTTTGATTGAAAATCAAAATTTCACAAAAGATGATTAGAAACCTATATCAAGTTTCAAAACCCAAGGTTTAGGATGGCAGTACTGTTAGGTCAATTTGATTGTCTTGTAGAGATGAGATTTGACAAGAAAAAATTAAAAAGAACGGTAATAATTGTTAAAATAATATTTCAGGCTCATGTACCTACTTTTACACTATTTGATACTAATTGAGATCATCTAGACGCTTGTGTGGTGTGAAGTTACAGTGATAGTGGTACATAACGACTCCTGATAGCAGATATTAAGTTTCATTATTAATGACTTTATTGGAAGAGTTTTATTAAATATTATCATTTGTAGGAAGTCAGATAAGTGAGGATGGAAGGAGTAGTAGGGATATAAAGCAGAGGATAGCGCAGGGTTGAGTCGCCTTTAATAAAAAGAAGTCACTTCTATGCTCGCGAACGGTTAATTTAGAAATTCGAAAAAGGTTGTTAAAGGTGTATGTTTGGAGCACGGCATTGTACGGGTGCGAAACATGGACAGTGGGCGCGGCGGAAAAGAAAAGCTTAAAAGCGTTCGAAATGTGGTGTTATAGGCGGATGATGAGGATATCGTGGGTAGAAAAGGT